CCCCCCCCCCCCCCCTACTGGGAGGCTGAAACCTGTGCCCACTTTAGTGTAGTTGAGATGCAATGTGTTAAAGCAGGGGCACTAAGGGACACTATAAACTGGTTAAAGACGGCGAATGCGTTGTTTTTCGTGTGTTGTGAAATGAATTCCAGCCATTTTTTACTTAATTATCGGGTTTCCAACTGAAAACTAATTTCCACATGTCACAAATTCAACTCAAACAACTTCATTTTTACTGCACTGAAACTTTGGTGAGAAGATCGAGTTTCAAATCTCAATTCAAGATTGAGTTTTTGGGACCGTTTTTCGGCCCTAAAGAATCCCAGAAAAAAACCCTGACAACAAGCACCTTTCACATTTGAGATGAAATTGGATTTACATATTTCTACATTTTCTAGTGACAAACCTCTTCATCAACAGTAACTTCCTCTTTCTTCCTCCTCTCTCGGACCTCTGCCATTGTTTCCTGCACAAAATCCTGTGCGATGGTGATGAGATCGTAAATCATGAGGGAGTTAAGACGAGAACAAGCTTCCTTCATGAGAAGCAAATAAAGCTGGTCAGCTTTGGCAGAACTGAGTGATCCATGGCCTTCTATTTCGAATATTGGAGGAATGACTGGATACTGAGATGGCAAGCTAGAGATAATGATATTGGAGAAATGCTAAGAAATCATAAGGCTCATTTACACATGCAATTTTTGCTGTGAACGAGTGGATGAGTTATGAATGTTCAAATGAGGGTAAATATACTCAGAACATTCACAACTCATCACTCGTTCACATGCATCAGAAGGAGAAAATCACACTAGAAATCGCAGCAAAAATTGCAAGTGTAAACGAGACATTGTCAGCTATGCGGAGCTAGTCTGCTGCGTTTTTTTAGTGGAAATGTTCAGGCGCGGATCCAGCCTAAACCCTGACCGTGGCGCACTCCAAAACCGCGCATAATTAGGGGGGAAAATTTTTGAAATTTGAACCCCGGAAATGCCATTTCCTAAGTTCTGAGCATCGAATTCTATCATATAATTCGTCATTAATTACGCCATATTTTAGACAGCAAATAACGAAACGCACTAAATAAGTCAAATATTTAAACAACATACC